CAAAGGCGTCAATTGTTCCTCGGTCTTCCTTATTCAATGTCCAGCTTTCACATGTACATGAGACAATTGAAAATATCATGGCTTGGGTCAGGTGCACCTTAGTTCTCAAAGTGACATCTTTGCTTTTTAACACTTTAAAGAGGTTTTTTGCAGCAGATTTGCCCAGTGCAATAAATGTTTTGATTTCTTGTCTGCTGCTCCCATTGGCATTGATTGTGGATCCAAGTAAAATGAAATCCTTGACAACTTCAGTCTTTTCTCTGTTTATCATGATGTTGCTTATTGGTCCAGTTGTGAAGACTTTTGTTTTCTTTATGTTGAGGTGTAATCCATACTGAAGGCTGTGGTCTTTGATCTTCACCAGTAGGTGCTTCAAGTCCTCCTTGTTTTCAGCAAGCAGGGTTGTGTCATCTGCATAACTCAGGTTGTTAATGAGTCTTCCTCCAATGCTGATGCCTGTTTCTTCTTCATACAGTCCAGCTTCTCGGATTATTTGCTCAGCATACAGATTGAATAAGTGTGGTGAAAGGATACAACACTGACAGACACCTTTCCTGATTTTAAACCACGTAGTATCCCCTTGTTCTGTCTGAATGACTGCCTCTTGGTCTATGTATAGGTTCCTCATGAGCACAATTAAGTGTTCTGGAATTCCCATTCTTTGTAATGTCATCCATAATTTGTTATAATCCACAGAGTCGAATGCCTTTGCTTAGTCAATAAAACACAGGTAAACATCTTTCTGGTATTCTCTGCTTTCAGCCAAGTTCCATCTGACATCAACAATGATATCCCTCATTCCACATCGTCTTTGGAATCCAGCTTGAATTTGTGGATGTTCAGTGTTGATGTACAGCTGCAACTGTTTTTGAATGATTTTCAGCAAAATTGTAATTGTGTATGATATTAATATATTGTTTGATAATTTCTGCATTCTGTTGGATCACCTTTCTTTGGAATGGGCACAAATATGTATCTTTTCCAGTTGGTTGGCCAGGTAGCTGTCTTCCAAATTTCTTGGCCTAGACAAATGAACGCCTCCAGCGCTGCATCTGTTTGTTGAAACATCTCAATTGGTATTCCATCAATTCCTGGTGCCTTGTTTGTCACCAGTGCCTTCAGTGCACACTGGACTTCTTCCTTCAATACCATCTATAAATTTTCTGGAACAACTAAAAAATAAAAATAGAAGCCAACCTCAGACCCTACACAAAAATCTATTCCAATTATCAATGGATGAAGTACTTAAAATTTAAAAGCAAAACTTTAAAAATATTAGAATAAAACATCAGAAAATATCTTTATGATATTAGGGTAGGGAAGGATTTCTTAAACAAAACATTAAAAGTCCAATCATAAAGGAAAAAATTCATAAATCTGACTACACTCACGTTAACAATGTCTGTTCATCAAAAGACATGATAAAGAGAGTGAAAAGATGAGCCACAAACTGGGAAATTATATATACAAACTTATTACCAAAAATAATTAGTATCTAAAATATATCAAGAATTCCTATAAATCAATAAGAAAAAGACAAACCAGGTGAAAAATGGGCAAAAACTGTGAATAGACATTTGAAGAAAATACATTTTATTTAATGTGCTTAATCTCATTAATAACTTTAAAAAATAAAATTAAGACCATACTTGGAGGACATTATGCTGAGTGAAATAAGTCAATTATAAAAGACAAGTATTGAATGTTCTCACTTTTATGAAATGACATCAATTGGTAAATATAGAGAGACTAATGTTCATTAGTGGTTATTGTAACTGGAGGGAGGGAGAAATACTGCCTGGGTAGTAGTCACTCTCTGTCTATAGTAATGGGAAAGGTGGCACTGAATATGGGTGAAGTTTGCACAGCATGACTGATGTAATTAATGTCAGTAAGTTGTACATAGGGAAAAGGGATGAATGGGCAAATGCTAGGTTGTATATGGTTTTACAACACTAACAACAACCAAAAAAGGGTGGGGGGGGCTACAGATGCTGATACTAATTAAATATAACCAATCACCTCATGGGATTAGTTCTCTTGGTTGAAGGGCTTAGGGCCATGGTCTTGTGAGATAGTCCAGTCATTTGGCATAGTTTAGTTCTTAAATTTTATGAATCTACCCCCCAGTATGGTGAATATTGTTGTCTGTGGTCTTAAAAGCTTATAAGCAGCCATCTAAGATATAATTATTAGTCTCTATTCATCTGGATAAAAGAGAAAGAAGGAAACACAAGAATTAGAGAAGGAATTAGACTGAACGACTAATTGTCTCTGTGAACCACTGCCTTCTCCACCTTTAGATCAGAACTAGATAGTGCCTGGATACCACTACTGAATGTTCTGATTAGGGACACAATAGATGAATCCTGATAAACAGGGAGGGAAATGTGGGTCAGAACTTCAAATTCTTAAAGAATCCTGACTTACCGGACCTATTGAGTCTGGGGGAGTCCCTGAGATTATGGCCCTGAGTTGCTCTTCAAACCTTGAATTGAAACTATACCCTGATGTCACCTTTAAACTAAATAACAGTTTACCTCAAAGAGGAAAGGTTGTTACCCGTGAGTGTTGCATTTAAAAAAAAAAAAATTATATAAGAAAAAAGGGTCTACAGTTATTTTAAAGCATAGATGAGAAGGTTAGGGGGCAGGGAGTTTAAGTAAACGGAAGTGAAATAACTAGAACAGAAATAATGTGAATGTTGACACAATGTGAAGAATGTAACCAGTGTCATTGATCATTATGTCTAGAAACTGTAGAATGGGAATGGGTTTTGCTATGTATATTCTCACCAAAAATAAAATTAAAACCATACTGAGATATCCTGTTATACCCATCAGATTAGTACAAATTAGTTGACAATACCAAGAGTAGTAGAGGATATGAAGCAACAGAAAGGCTCATTACAGTGGAAGTATAAATTGAAAATTACTTTGGAAAACAATTTGGAATTGCGTGGTAAAGTCAAACACACACATACTCTGCAGCCCAGCAACAATTCCACTCCTACACATAGACACTAGAGAATGTTGATTGTTGTTGTCATTGGTTGCCATTGAATCAGCTCTGATTCATGGAGGCCTTATGTATAACAGAACAAAACATTGCCTGGTCCTGTGTCATCTTCATGATCGTTGGTATTTTTGAGTCAGTTGTTGTGGTTATTTGTCAACCTGTCTCACTGAGGGTTTCCTTCATTTTCATTGACCTTCTACTTTACCAAACATGATGTCCTTTTCTAGCAACTAGTATTTCCTGATGACGTGTCCAAAGTAAATGAGTCAAATTCTCACCATCCTTGCTTCTAAAAAGCATTCTGGTTGTATTTCTTCTAAGATTTATTTGTTCTTTCTTTTGGTAGTACACGGTATATTCAATATTCTTTGCCAATGCCACAGTTTGAACACATCAGTTCTTCGTTTGTCTTCCTTTTTAATTATTCAACTTTCGCATGCATTTGAAGCAATTGAGAAGATCATGGCTTGGGCTAGACATACCTTAGTCATCAAAGTGACATCTTTGCTTTTTAAAACCTTAAAAAGGTTGTTGATAGAAGCATATAACAGAAAACTGGAAACAACCTAAATGTCTATTGTCAGGAGAATGAATCAATAAATATAATAAGATGATAACATAATCAATAAAAAATGAAAATATTACAGCTATACACAATAACGGAGCCCTAGTGGTGCAATGGATAAGAGCTCGGCTGCTAACCAGAAAGTCAGCAGTTCAAATCCACCAGCTACTCCTCGGAAACCCTATGGGGCAGTTCTACTCTGTCCTATAGGGTCGCTATGAGTTGGAATTGACTCGATGGCAATGGGTTGATTTTATACACAATAACAAACAAATCTCACATAGGCTTCAGCAGAAAAAGCCAGTTACAGAAATATATCTGGAGTATATGATTCAAAGAAGGCAATATTAAACAATAAATCATACATAGGTACGTGCATGTATGTGGTAAAGTTATAAAGAAAAGCAAGGAATGATTAGTGCACAGGCAGGACAGGATAGGCTAATGGGTACCTCTGGAGGGAGGAAGGGACCTATAAGATGAGGGGTCACATAAAATGGGCCTCCAATACTGGTAGTATCTTTCTTGCATTGAATTGTGGATATATTTGTAATTTTTTATATCATCACCCTTTACAATATATATTTATATTTCCTACAGTCTTTTGTATACATGGTATATTTCACAATAAAACAGGAAGGAAGGAAGGAAGGCTAGCCAAAGGCTAAAGAACTGCAACTGGAATCCAAGGATGAATAAGAGAAACAGAGAAGATACCCTGAGACTCTGATCCAGGGCTGAAACTACTGAAAAGCTTCGCTCTTGAGTAGGAAGAAAGCTTTTAAGTGGGACAGAGACTCCTGCTGATGCCCTTGAAGGTTGCTGTGGGATTTCATGGCTGCGCGAAACAAATGAGTGATTTGAGAAGGACACTTTAACAAAAGAGTATTGACTTTCTTTTACATCCAGGAAGATACATAATCTCTACACCCTTGTGAATAAATATGAAGATATTCGTATCAGTTACTTAAACAAATAAAGGTTTATTTTTCCTCACATAACATAACAGAAGTAGGCAGTGCAGAGCTGGTTCAGTGAGTTGGCAATATTTCTAAATCCAGGCTCTGTTTGTTTTTCCACTCTGCCATTTTTAGTTTGTGGGCTTTTTGCCCCATACTGCTCCAAACTTCCCATCTATCTTAAACACAGCACTAGGAGCATCTTCTTAACCCTTTTGTCAGGAAAGTAAAGGCTTTCCTAGAATTCTCCTGCAGCCCACCACTCATATCCTAGTGGTCAGATGGTGTCACATGGCCACTTCTTGCTGCGGGTGAGGCTAAGAAACTAATTATTTTGCAATTGCAGTCCGTACAGTAGGAGCAGGCAAGATTGAAGTGGGGAGGAGTGGTTTCTGAGCAGCAATGCAGCAGCGTCTATCAAAGTACTGCACTAAGAATTCTTCCCCTTTTCTCCCCAGGTGCCAGTCTACTTGATGACCTATTTAAGTATTTCTCCTTCCATCACTCCCATGGAGACACCATGACTGTTATGGATCCAAAGGAGATGAATATTGCCGCTGCTCTTTGGGCTGTTGTCTCTTATGTCGTTGCAGACATGGAAGAAATGCTGCCCAGATCCTAGCAAGGGCAAGAAAGAAGGCATGTTCTTTCTTTCCAGCCAGGAGTCCTGGGTCTATAGATTCAGGAAGCCCATCTTCACCTAACAATCTAATCTCATTTGTCTTCAAAGCATACCCCTTTTCCAGATTTCTGTTATCATCTTTCTTGATATTTTCTGAATTGTCTGTTTCTAGAATAAGAAATTATTCCTGCCCCAACTTAGAATCAGCAAATGATAGGGATCACATAGGGGGCATTTCTTTATACCACCTGTGAAAAATAATCTTCCTATTTTCAAAGTAAGCACTGAATAAATCTTTGGAAGGCCTTTGATATTTATGTGTTTATTAAATCAAATACAGTGACATCAATGTTTGTGTTTAATGTTATAAATTGAAGTTGTAAAGGAATTACACAATTGTAGTATGATCTTAATTGAATGTATGTAGGAATTTGGCTTTCTAATTTATACATGTTTATATTACTTCCATTCTTTAACTAAGGTTCAGTTTTTTTTTTTAATTAACAAAAAAATTTCATCAACTGGAGAAAAATCAAGTATGTATAATCCAATTGCCTTATTAAAGATGAATACTGGGGTCTGTAATTAGATAAATGATAATGCCATTTTATATTTATGTTTTAGATATTTCACGCAACATCTCCATTGGTTTGGGGTTTGTTCACGTTTTGCTGATAACAAGGTTGAGGCGCAAATAGACTGAATAACTTTCACAGGATTACAGAGGAAAAGCAATGATCACCATCCAAGGACAGTGACCCTGAAGTAGAGGATACTAGGGACAGATAATCTAAGATAGGGTATTTACCTAGAGCAACCTGAGATAATGTGGATTCATTATGATTCAGGAGGGACCAGAATCATAATGAAAAAGCCAAGGTTATAACTAGGATGACAAAGGCAAGTGTTGAGGTGAGGTGAGGTGAGGCTGGAAGAGTAAAAGAAGTGTCAGCAATCAAAAGGGTCTGAGAAAAGAACAGAGAGGGACGTACCCCTCTGCTCATGGCAAGCAATTCAGCACCAAGACTGTGAACAGTAAAGCAATGCCTTTGATGTGGAGCCTACTCTTCCATATAGGGGAGAACTGATCGTGCAAGTGGCTGGAGAAAAGGCTTCATGACAGGGACATGAAAGACTGAGATGGAAACTATAAAACAGAATCAAATGCAAATGCTGAAAAAAATAATAAAACTACAGTGTCAGTGATGATTAATTTATTGGTTGGGCTCATCACACACTGGACAAGGCTGAAGAAGGAATCAGTGAACTTGAAGATAGGTCAATAAAAAATTTTCAAACTGAAACACTAAAACAAGAGTGAAAAAAACAAACAAACAACAATAACAAAAAAGCCAGAATGGAACATCCAAGAGTTCTAAGATAATATCAAATGGTCTAACATACATGTAATTGGATTCACAGAAGAAGACAAGGTATCAATTTTATTAATGGTAATAATTAAAATGATTGAAGGATACAGTATGGACTTTTATTTCTGGCAAGATAGCTGACCAATACTCTGACCGACCCTCCCAGTGAAAACATTTCAGAAACTAAAAATTCTGGATAACATTTTAGAAACACTTTCCTAAATATATTAATGAATTGGTTAAAAAGTAAAGTGTAATTAGACAAAAAAAAAAACCAGCAAAGGCATGAATCAAGAGAGATATGCAGAACATTAACTCAGCATCCTCTTTGAGGAAATCTGCAGAATTTGGTCAACTTAAATGTCATTTACCATAATTTTACAAAAACAACATGTGCGTTCTACGTTTGTTTGTGAACAAGCCCTCCCCCCCACCCGCAGGAGGTATTTTCATAAGCACACTTTAGTATGCTAGTTTTTTAAAGCATGTAAAACAAACATAGAACTGTGTGTGTTATTTGAGCAAAAATGCAGTACACAGCACTGCAGGCCTCAAGAGACTAAACAAAGCCAAGGGCCTTCCAAAGTTAGGAATACTAGAGAACACCAGTAAAATGGGGACCCCACAGGGCTATACCTCCATACATACAATGGTGAACCGGAAATAACTCTGAGGAGTGCAAGAAAAATTACCTCCATTGAGTAAGTGCTGAATGGAGGTGAAAGTCTCATCTAAGAATTCATAACTGCCTGCCAGCCCTCTTGGAAGATTTCAGCTGAAATTTAATTTATTTTGATGGCTTAAAAAACCTTCAGTATGAGAATTTAGCTTAATTTGGTCCCAAATGTATAATGCTCCCAGGTAGTTGGCAGAAGCAGAAGTAAATATTCTCTGGAGAAGCCTACCTCCCATCACAGGCTCCAAAGAAATTCCCATAGATAAAGTTACAAAAAATATGACCCCTCAGTCAAAAGTAAAACAAAACAATCATCACCAAACCAACCAAGCAACAGATAGGAAAACAGGGAACATAGCATTTTGAGGAAGAGCAAACCAAAAAAAGTGCATTAAACCCACAATGTCCTCTGATACTAGAATTTTTAGATTGAGAATTTTTTAAAACTCCGGAGAAGAGAAAATGGGGACAAATAAATATCTGAAGAAATAATCAATGAAAATTTTCCAGAAATAATGAACATGTCAATCCACAGAATTAAGACACCCCATGAATTCCAAAAAATGAATGAATAAATCTACACTAAGACCATTCTAGGGTAAATATATCACAAACTTTAGTAAAACAAAAAGAAAAGTTTTAGTCAGCATATATTCAAAGAGGCAAAAGTGGGAAACGAACAAGCATGCTGCCAGGGCTATTGTTTGTGCGAGTCCAAGGAATATTATACAATAAGCAAAAGTGGGAAAATGGACAAGCATGCTGCTACAGCAATGTCTGCCAGAGTCCAAGAAAATATTACAGAATAGGCATGAATGGGAAAACAGACAAACATGGTGCCACAGCCATGTCTGTTCGAGTTCAAGGTATATTACAGAACAGGCAAGAATAGGAAAATGGACAAGCATGCTGCTAGAGCTAAGTCTGCCCGAGTTTGAGGAACGTGACAGAATCATCAGTACATATTAACATTAGAAATGGGCAAAACCATTGAAACCTTCACCTTTTCAGACTGACTAAAAACTGTTAAGTCACTGTGATTCTACATTTTGAATCATCTTTCTTAACAATCATTGGTACAGGTTTCAGTAACAACAGTCAGGAAAGTCTTCATTGGTCCAACAAATCTTACTATTCACTAAATGCTAATAGAAAAAGATAAGGGTGGAAAGTCTGTGGGTCTTTTGTGCTGTTTTATTAGTTTATATGAAAGTTTCCATGAAAGATGTTTTCTAAGGTTGTTCTAGCTGTTGTCTTTATACCTCAGGGCCCAGTTGATGTGTCCTTGTGGGTTCTTGTGAGTCCAGCTCCAGCTGGGTCACATTTTAGAACACGGAATTATCTCCTAAACCAATATTATCTCCTAAATCGAGACGTATCATAGAGGAACTACAGACCACAAAAGACAAAGAGGAGATCTTTGAAGCAAGAGATAGGAGATGGATTAGCTTAAAAGGAGCAATAGTTGGACTTCTAGATGACTTCTTAATAATAGCAATTATGCAAGCCAGAAGACAGTGGAATGGTATCTTCAGCATGCTAAGAGAGAACACTTATCAACCTAAAAACTCTTCGCTGAGCAAACATACCTTTCAAGAACAAGGACAAAATAAGGATATTTTCAGAAAAATAAAAACTGAGAGAGTTTACCACCAGCAGATCTTCACTACAGGAAATTTGAAAAGGTGTACTCCAAGCAAAAATTAACAATCCCGGAGTGAAGACTAATATACAACAAGATAGAAGTTTAGCTCTAGGCCAAAACTCTATGTGTGATCTTCCAGGCCCCACTATAGGTAAGTACAAAGGCTTTCTGGAAGGCTTCATGGGGGAAAGCTTCCCTCTCCACACCAGATTTGGATGAAGTTGCAGTCAAGGACTCAGATCCCATCCTATCCCCCAAGCCTCAACAGCCATGCTCATCATAGCTGCATTCCTAGCCCAGGTGTCTCCTTTCAGATGCCTCCCTATTCCTTTTCTCCAATCTAACGTAGCACTTTTCCACTCCTAACCCTTCCCTTTCTCCCTTCCCCCAGCCTCTCCAGATCTGTAAAATGGCAAGAGCCTTTTGTCCTATAGAGTTGCTATGAGTTGGAATCGGCAACGGGTTTGGTTTTTTTTGGCCTCAGCAGTGAGAGGATTATTCGCATCTGTGCTGATCCACCTGACCCTTCCCAGTGCTGTTCTATGGGGAAAAGTGGAACACTAGGGAGCTGGTGCCTGTTTTTGCTTACACTATAGAAATAAGTGAATAAACCCTTGATTGTTACTTTCCGTTTGGCTCATTGTCCTAATTGGCCACTCAACGACCACCTCAACATCTGACAGGTTGACAAAAGAGCAAAGAAAGTCATAGCAGTGATACACTAACATGGACTAAGATAACAATAATAAGGTGATATTTGATAAGAAAATACATGATGAATAGCATATAAGTAAGAAGAGGAGTTCCTGGAATTAAAGTGCTCCGAGGTCCTTGTAGGAGCCCTGGTGGCACAATGGTTAAAGTGACTGGCCAGTAGCCCAAAGATTGGTGGTTTGAGCCCACCAGCCGCTCTATGGCAGAAAAATGTGGCAGTCTGCTTCTGTAAAGGTTTACAGCCGTGGAAACCCTATGGGGCAACTGGTTTGGTTTTAAGGTTCTTGTATTGCTCAAAAAGAGAATACAGATATTATCTAACTTTAGGCTTTGCTAAGTTCAGTATGTTAAATTTAAATGTTAAATTTTCCTAGGGTAGCCACAGAAAATATAGTAGGGTATATAACAACAAAACAACTCAAAAATGTAAAATGGAGAAGAATAGAACTGAAATAAAGACATTTTCAAAACATCAAAAAAAGAAAACAATTTATAGAAATAGAAATAAAAATGTGTAATAAACATACAAAAAAATCTTAACTTCAGCAATAACCAAGTAAACAGAAGTTACAACCAGTTTAAAAAAAAAATCTGCATGTGAATGTTTATAGCGACATTATACACAATCTCCAAATGCTGGAAACAATCCAATGTCCTTCAACTGGTGAATGAATAAACAAACTGGTACAGTCATACAAGGAAATACTACTCTTCAATAAAGAAGAATGAACTATTGATACATAAAATAGCATGGATGAATCTCAAATGCATTATGCTAGGTCAAAGAAGTCAGACTCAAAGGCCACATGTTGTATGATTACATTTATATAACATTCTGGAAGAGCCAAAACTATAGCAATGAAAATAGATCAGTGATTGTCAGGGGTAAGAAGCAAGGGGTGGGAGTGGGGGTTGACTAAAATGGGGCAGCGCAAGAAAAATTGGAGGGGTGATGGCACTGCTGTGTATCTTAATTGTGGTGGTTATAAGACTATATGCATTTGCCAAAACCCACAGAACTATACACCACAAATAATATTTTTGTATGTAAATTATAAAATAAAACAAAAACTTCTTCCTTTGGCTTTAAAAAAATATAAAAAGGCTCAACAAATTTAATGCCATATTCAGTGATCGCAATGAAATCAATCAACTAAAAAAAATCTCATGTGTTTGGAAAATAAGAAATGACTTAATAAAATGAAGGCATGACTACAAAGTAACACGAGCCATAGAAGGAATCGTAATGGAAATTAGAACATATTTACGACTGAATAATAGCACAAAAGAAAAATTCTCTGGATCAAAACTTGTAGAATGCAGATAAACTGTTTCTTAGAGTCAGATTTACAGTTCTAAATGCCAAAAATAAAAGGGCCAAAACTTAAGGAAAAACATTTCAATTCAAGAAGATAGAAAAAATAATGGCAGAATAAACTCAAAGAAAAAAGTAGGAAGTAAGTAATAAACGTAAGAGTAGAAAGCAGTGAAACAGACAACATTCAGTAGAAAGGATCAACAAAGCCAAAAGTTGGTTCTTTGAAAATACTAATTAAAGTACTTATGAAAAGCTTTGCACCAATAATTTGGAACCTTGAGTAAATGGACCAATTTCTAGGAAAATGTAAATTACCTAACTAGGCTGCCAAACGGAATAACTTA